CCGATCCAATGGGATTTTTGGACCATACCGATGAGAATATCCCAGGAAACGTGGTCGATCTTCTCGACGGCGTAATCTGCGCTGGCTAAGTAGGGTGGTTCCGTCCATCGCGTTTCTGGATCGTATCGCCCCGAGGATCGATCGTGGTCGGGTGCACACGCGCTGACCGGTTGCAGTACGCGTTCAGGAAACGCGTCCCAGACACGTTTTACCTAGTCAGGACTGAGGATCGCGATTAACGAAACGGATATTGGGGATCTTCCATCAACGATCCAACTGCACTTGGTTGCTCCTGCGATTTTCGGAATGTCAGTCTCGTTTCTCTTTTCTATGGTTGGTTCTTCGAAATTCAACGTTATTCGGGCCTCCACGCACCGCTGCTGCTCCAACGTCCTTGCCTGGTCGCGCGTACGTGTATGACGAGGCGCGCGCGCGCACGCTAATCAACGTATACCCGCGCACAGGATTTCCAAAACCCAGCCATACGACAGGCTAACCGAGTGGTGACTGAGACTCACCCTCTGTGGCGGCGCTGACTACCTCCGACACACCGTCACCCCCACCCCGGCCTCCGTTGACTCCAAACCCCACTACTCACCTCCACCGCCGCGGCTCACCCATCGCTCTCCCTCCACGCGCCATGCTTCTAATCCCCACGGCGCTCGCGCTCTTGCGTGTTCATCTTGCGATTCCTTCGGATTTCCCTCTCTTTCGTGAAGGTGAAAAAGAGAACGTTTCTTTTCTTTTTTTTTTGCTTCGACTAAGATATACATCGCTGTGATTAATCGGTGATTTTAAGGGAAAGGTTTAGAGAATATTTAATACGATGACGCGTTTATTAACTCGGTTACACATCCACCGAAATAACGTACTAATCGTACAGGATTTTATGTAGGTTTAGAGTTCGCTATCTATCGTCGAATTTGAAGATGCGTCCCGACGAAAAAGGTTACCAATTTTCCAACGTACCACGTTCCATGCCACGTGGATCTCTGGTGACCTACATTTCTCTTCGTGGAAAACTTACTTTCCGTGAAACAAACAACAGACAAACGGTAAAAACAGGAAAAAACCTTACAAATGAATACGAACTCTGAGACCACAGTTTCTTTTGTTTGAATTTAGAATTGTAAGCAGCGAAGGGGTTGATACATCCGGCATTCCGTTGCGGAGGAGAAATCGAATGGGAAGTTGCAACGTTTCTGGCTGAATTCGGACGGGCGACCGGTTTATTAGGTTAATGGAGGGACAATGCACGTATGTGCGTGCACACGCGACAAAACGCCAGATTCCGCTATCTGAAGCGAAACAACCTAGCGCCAGGGGCGTCTTGTTATCCGCGAATTTCTAGCCTAGCCGGTTAACGCTTTAACCAACGACCCTTTAATTACTTCAATGATGTACAACCACGAAGTTACTCGGCTCCGAGAGCTACTTCAGTCAAGCGTACTACGTTAATGAAGTTTCTTCTGTGTTTCGTTATAGAACCATGAGGATTTTTCTACTGCACGAACAGTGAATAGTTGATGACGAGAAAGGAAAGACGTTAAACTGTAAGGAGGACGCAGGTGGCTTGGAAGTTTGAAAGATGTCTAATCCGTTGAATGGAAACTTGGAAATGAAGTTTGGAAAATTCAATCCTGGCTGCTTGTGCTGCTTGAATTTCAAAGAGGGGTATGAAGAAATATAGGATGGAACAATACTTCTATTATAAGTTCACGAAGAAACGAAGTAAAAATCTTGTATGAAATGTTGGAAGCTTTTTCCTGTTGAGGTTAGAGATTTAAGTACTATAATCGTTCGCTTTGAACAAAAAAATTTTACGTGCGAAATTATACAGGGCGGTAAATGTGATTGAGACGTTCCTGAAGGAAGAAGAAAAACGCGGCGACAGAAGGAAGACGGAGGAAGAAGAACACAGTGGAAAAGAGGGAGAGGAGAAGAAGCCGGGAATGGGTTGGTTCGATCGAAGTTGTCGAAGGGAGGGCGCCACCTTGCCGGCCACCCCGTTTCCATTGGCTCCTGCGGATCAAATACTTATCGCCTTATCATTATAGTAGATTCTATCAATTTAACGATATTCGAGACACAAACGTCAGATAGCGACACTAATCGATGCAATGACACCGAAAAATGCAACTCTACTTTTTTAAGAACCGATGTAAATCTGCTATACTTTAATATGAAGTATACTGTATACTTCATGCGGATCTAGCCGAGATTTCGGACCCTTTCATTCTCAGGTTTCTGTCAATTCACTCATTAACATGCTTCAACACGCAAATCTTGACATTAAATAATTTATTAATTATTTATTTATTTGTTACCTTATCGAGATGAGGAATATCATACAGGGAGATCATCACGAGCAGAACAGAATCAGAAAATACTCAGGATTGGATAGTACTATACGTCCTCGTGTACCTTATTAAAAAAATAATGGATCAAGTGCAAAGATATCGACGGAACCCTTGCCGACATCCAGTTGCTATTCTAGGTTACACATCGTTCGTCGGAGAAAGATGTTTAATTAATTCTTACGTCTTCGATTTCTACGAGTGTTGAAGTGTCTAAAATTACATTACGCTATCAACTACTTCTCGACCGAGTCCATAGGATAACTATCCGGTAGTTAGACAGTGGTAATCAATAATCAATAGTCCATTCCGAATTTGTAGTAAAAGGTAATCTTTTCACAAATTTTTTAAGTGCATCCTATTATGATAACATTGGGTTTCTAAAACAGCAGGCCTACCTTTGCGAAAGATAGAATGTAAGATTGCCAAGAATCTGCCAAAAATGAAAAAATATCACTGCAAAATACCGAATAGAAGAAATCTAGTAATTAAATTCCATAAACAAAAAGTCAGTGTAGGAAAGAGGTTTCTACTAGTTTAAATGCAATGGTACAGCCAGTAAGATGATACTTCGGTAAAAAATATTTCAAAATTGTATTTCTTAAACGTCCAGAGTCACGAAAGGATAAAATCTGCCAGTGACATTGGAAAAGAAGAGGCCGCCTGACGGTCTCCGTTTCGCGTTCACCGGCGGAATATTTACGCGACCAGCTGGCACACACGTGCACTTTGATTCTCTGACACTAATTGCGAGCCGCGTTTGGCTGACTCTTGAGGACCCAAATTAATTAATGGCATACCAAATGACGAGTCGCGCGGAGATTCGCTTGCTGAGCCCTCGTTGCCTGGAAAAAGCGAAATAATACAGCGTACGATCGTGCCACGAATATCAATGCTTCCTTCGTTGTTATGAAGAAGCGGAGACTCGTGCTCGTTAATGATGTACCATCCTATCGTTTTTTGTCCCTTTTTCCCTTCCTAGCTTTCTCCTGCCTCTTTTTTCTTATTTTTCTTCCACTTTATTTTTCCTCTACTTTACAGACAAGATGCAGAGTAAACCGCATGCGTTCGTTGCTGTTTCGTGACACAGAGATGTATTTAACCGTCGAAATGATCGCATTTAATCCACGTTTAAAGCTCAAGCCACTTTTTTTACACGCTTCGATCTATTTCGCTGACATGCTTCGTTGCGACAAAAATGGTAACCATGTATTGATATACAGTATTCTAGTAGCACGATTGCAGATTAATTTTAATAATTCGATATTTTCTAAAAATACGTATCGTTAATATAGAAATTAATTTAATAATTCTATTATTAAACTTCGTCTCCAGAATGTCGCCTCTATATTAGGCCATAAATCCTGGGAAGCTGTCATGGCTACTGCTCTACGTCGTAAAAGAATTTAACAATGGTAACACTGGGGCCAGGCAACCAAGACATTTTGCGTAATCCCATATTCTTTACCACGTAAAAATTTTATGGAACGACTTCACAGCGGTCCATAACTAACTCGGATTACGGTATAACCGAAAGGAAAGCATTATTCCCGTTGTATTCACCTCCTATCGACTATTTAGCTCAGGTTCGATACCAGTTTGGAGGAATCGAGTGCATCCGAGCGAAAGCAAACGGAACGCTTGAACGGAATTAATTACGCGCGATCTTCAGCCACTTCTACGGGTAAGATACACTGAGAGACTCAATTGGCCGATGGCCAAATGGACTTTTACGTACGCTTCACTACATAGTACCAGTAAAAATAGTCAAAAAGGTTCACGATTGATTTATCGTTTAACATCGATCCATCGAAAATGTCGATTTTCTTTGTCATGAAATTTTATTCTACAATCCTTTGAAATTAAAAACTACTAAGTACAAATATACTATGGATGTGGTTTTATAATGGCTTTATAACATTTTTAAAAAATTTTTAAAAACTCGGTTTCAAAAAATGTGCTGGCTATGAAGGTATTATTTCAATAGTGATTACTGAAAGTTATTTAAAATTGTAGATTTTGATAAGATTGATAAAGAATTATATTTAAAAGATTATGATTCTACAACGATTCAAGTTACACCGAAGTTATTATATAAATAATATATATATATATCAATTATATAAATTAATTATATAATTAATCGCTATAAAAAACTAATAAAAATATTTTGTTTTCTAGCTGGTTCTTTGTAAAAATCTCATATTAAAGATGTATTTTGTTCGAAAGGTATTAAAATCGTACATTAAATCTTGAAATCGTGGTAAACGCAATGCGGAAGAAAAGTCACGCGTGCACGTGCACGCAGAACGGAAGCTCCCTTGTCGCGACACACAACCGGCCTTGATCCACTTTTCCCCCCTTGGTACTACTGTTTCTTTTCGAAGGAAACACGCAAAAGCCAATAGTAAATTTTGTAAAACGTTATTAAACACCGTGATCTCCCGAGATTTATGACGCTAAATTATTGGCAAGTAACCTTTTGTCATAATTTTCGTCATATTCTTTTGTTACATGTTAAATAAATAAAGAATTTAAACATTATTTTATACAAATCAAAACAGTTTTATTACAACATAATTTAATAATTATTGACAAAACGTTGTATTATTTACAAATTATAAATACTAAATTCTCAAATATGCTTAATCTTTGGTTTTCGTTTCTTGAAATTCTTCCTTCTCTAAGAGTGCACTTGTGATACCTACTTTCTTTAGTTCAGCTACTAGCTCACCATTTTTATGCATTTCTAAAAGTATGTCACAACCACCTACGAATTCTCCATTTATAAATACTTGAGGTATTGTAGGCCAATTAGAATAATCTTTGATGCCTAAAAAGATATGTGTAAATTGCGATTTAGAAGCTTAATTATATTCCCTAGAGTAACAGATTAATTGTAAACTATAGAGTATTAGTATTTCAAAAAATATTGACCTTGTCTGAGCATTTCATCTTCAAGAACATCATGGGCATCATATTTAACATCGTGCATCCTTAGTATCTGTACAACAGCATTGCTAAAGCCACACTTAGGACTGTCTGGAACACCTTTCATAAACACAACCACTTTGTTCTTCTGTAAAATACAATTAACATTCATTTATAATTATTTAATATTCTTACACCGACCCTATGTATATTTTCATCAGCTTGTTGTTTTAGTTTACAATTTTTATAAATATTTATGTTGCATAATATAACATGCTGGACAATTTATAATTCAAGGTTTATAATGAATAATGAAATCACGATGAATTTCATTTATTTAATAGTGAAACTTTCATGCACATATCATACCTTAACGAGGTTAGAGATCTTGTCAGCAGTCTGAGAAAAACTTCTGATAACATTACAAAATCTAAAGGGAATCATTTTTTAGATACCGTTAGACGGAAACTTAATGAGCAGAACTTGAACTTTTTAAAAGAAAAACAATACAACAGATTACCCAGTCAACACAATCACAAATATGTTGCGCCATATTGGTTTTTGTAGTCTACTTACAGTAACTAGTATCACCATCTACAGATAAATGGAAGAAATGCACAAAAAGATAAAGTTATATTATATAACAAAAATTTGTATAATATATACTCCAAAATATGCAGTTATAAATTTCATACAATTATTTGTGACAAAGTTACAAATTTAGCAATATTAATATAAATATAATCTTCGGGATAAATTAGATCGCTACATAATCAACATGGCAACCTCTTCTTTAGTGATTATCCATTCTCGTTAGATGTCACCATCATTCTTTAAATTTTTTATCGTTTGTAATATTACATAAATTAAATACTCGAAAAAAGTTCGCGTACATATATTTATGTAAGTATTACATTATATCGTTACATAATCTGTCGTTATATTAGATTACATCAACTCATACCTCTCTAAATATTATGACAAAACTGTATCACATTCATTAACAAAATGATATTAAATTTGTGTCTGGCATTAATCTTTATTTGACATATTACTTTATCATATTGATATTATGCAACAAGGTTAATTGTGTTTTAATTTACCAATGATGAATATAAACTCTTACGATAAAGTTCAAGTAATACAACAAATTTTTATAAATGTTATAATATTTCGACAATTTTCATAAAAGATACCGTCGTATAACCCCGTTTTACCGTACTCACTTCAAATTCGATCTACATTCGTGGCCTACTTTCGAGGTCTACGCTCGAAACATAAGGAATCCTGGCTATGATACTTAACAGACTATTATATATTTTTCTTTCAGTAAATATTAAACGCCAACTTAATGAATCACGTATTGCTGATGTATTCGAAATTACAACAATGAAAAAAGTTCGTCGCAGTAGATTGAAGAATAAATTTCGCATTTTGTTTTTAAGATATCGTGAAGGACAAACAAAAAACGGTATCGTTATAAAAAGTTTTTTTTATTGACTTCCCAGTTCTTTCACGATAGCTGTGATTACGCGAATATCCATAAATACCAAAAAGTTATCTTATCTCGTCGATATGTTATCGACATGACCGAAAGCACATCGAATAAATTTTCAAAGATCCATCGTCTGAAAATTTGCGAACAAAATATTTGCTTTCGAAGCAATTTCTTAGAATTGTTTCTTTTCTAGGTGAATAAAATGTCGTCATCGATTGCGTCACATACTACCACGCCATTCGTTGGTCGCGATGTCACCGCTAAGTTCTCTTTTAGAACGACTCACTGACACAAAGAATATCGATTTTTTCAAAAATAATCTTTAAGAGAGCGCATGTTCTTCTAGCTGCAATGAATAAATTAGAAGGATGCAAATGGTTCGATACCACGGCAGATTTAAATGTGGCATTCCATATAACCTAACATTTAGGCAAGTGTTCAAATCGTTACGTTACTTTCTTAATCTATTTAAAAGTAGCGCCACCACTTAGTGAGGTTTCACTTCTCGCTGATCTTCGCCAAGTTCATGTTATTGTTATTGTTTACGAGTCAGCGCTGGCACTATTTTATTTTCCATTCATCATGCGTTGTTGTTGTACGAGTCGTAGTTTAAACATTTCGTGAAACAAACATTTGTCTTTTTTCGACTCAAATAACGTTCCCGTATCCCACGCAACTGTATTTTTCTCGTGACGTAACGGTGAAAAATCGTTACAGGGAAAACTCGTTAACCGACAACACGTCCGCAGCACGTGGTTGTCCTTTCCGAAGCAATGACGTCAGGTCGAAATCATGGTCACCGTGACCGATCACCATGGAAACTGTTCTCTGAGCGTATACCGACGTGAGAACGCCCACGAGGATTTTAAAGTTCGAGCCGGCGAACGGGAGAGCGTTCTGTATATACAACTTCACGGATGAAGTCCTTGCGATAGGTCGGGGATGAAAACACGAAAATAGCAACAGGTAAAAATGTTAAAAAATATTCGTTTTCGAATGAATCGCATAAAATTGCTTTCACTGTCAATGATGAGATTGAAATTCATCGAAGCCCAAACGAAACAAAATAAATAATGGTTAATTTTTTCAGAAGGGCAGAAATTTAAAGGATTAGAAAAAAAAAAATGAATTTTCTCAATTAATGTCACCGAACGTCGATGGTATGTCTATTTGTTCCGAATATGATCACGTTTTTTCCAAACATTGGCATAGTAATGTTTGTTATAAATTCTACATAGAATTCTCACGTCTACCTAACCTAACAAAAGTACGACCTTCCAGTGAATGTAATAGATACTTTTTTTGCCATTGCGTAAGACGCGACAGGCTTACTTATTGTCCACCTTTAAGATTATACATTGTGTTACAACCGTACACGATGAGGTATGTTCAAATAATTTGCTTTTCCCTTTCCTAGTGAAGCTTTTTCTTCTCGACGCGACATTCCTAACGAAGTCGGACGAAACTGAGCTAAATGTGACATAGGTGTGGAATTCAAGGCGTGGATGAATATGTATTAAGAGTAGCGTATACGTATAAACTGCAGAAACACTAGTAGAAGGCCAAGCTTGATACACGAATTTACATATATACGTTTCCACTCATCGGGTAAAGTAGAATTATGCGCGTAACGTTTTAGATATACGCAATTATTATCTATATACTTATAACACATTTTTACATTCAATTTCTTTTGCATATGTACGTAAATATATAAGTGATCTATGAAGAGAGTGGGAAGAAAGTAACTAACGTTTCTTTTGACAAGGAGAAAGGTTATGTTATTCACAAACATTAATTTCCGAAGGAATAAGGGACAAAACGAAGAGAAACGTTAGTGGAATTATACTGTGTTCAGGGTCAGCGATTGTTGCACTATTTTAACGTGGCTTGCTTTAACGTGACTACACCGTGACGAGGGGTTTCACTTTGCCGCAATGTTGGCAGCTACTGCCAGTTAATGCATTTTCACTGGTGGGACGGTGACGCTAAATGATACGGTTTCCTGTTCACGAGAAACTCGAAACTACCCGCGACACAAGGCATACCAAAACTGTACGTGTAACTTTATTGAATAACTGAAAATATAACCTCCATGGAAAAATTACAACGATCCTCCTCTGTACTTGCAATTGGAACTTTTTGCATATTCTGTTACAGGTAATACAATCAAGTGTCGTATAAAACGTTTATTATGTTTAAACACGGACGATTTAAAAAGGAATTTTAAAACACAATGGGCGGAAAAAATATCTTGCATTTTTAAAAGACACAAGTGAAATATAAGAAATTAGTAATTGGTGTGAGCGATAGGAAAATGATTTCAATAAGCAAGCAAGACTCAGCGTTCGTCAGCTTGTCTCGATTATCCTCGCGAGGCGGTTTGGGTGGGGGAGGTTGTCGGCACTGGCGAGCATCTACGACGAAGAACAAAACGCCGGAGAGAAAAGGAACGCGCTAGCCAGAACAACGAGGAGAAAACGATTCGTGAACGAAGAACGCGAACGTATCGCGGCACGTGCGACGAGGAGGGAGAAACCTTACGCCGATTCCTCTCGAGGTCGAACACGGGAACGAAACAGAAAAAGACAGAGACCGGTCCGCCAACCGTTCTGGCACATACACGGTGCATATCAGCCAGAAATGAGAAAAAATTATCATACGCACGTATATTGCGGCCCGTATATCGAATTCGAGATAAGAATGATAAAGACGTTTGCGAGCAACTACAAATGCTTTTTGTACGCAGCTAAAACGTACACCAAGCAACAACTAGTTCAGAGACAATTGACATTGTACCCGGTTTAAAACTTGCTGGAATATAAGGATGTTGTTTATCAATATCAACATTTGATGGCAAACTTTTCTTTTTTTATCGATTCGCAATATCAGTTATTAAAAGTATATAAACGTTTAAATTGCTATTTCCTACGAGTCGAAATAACAATGAATACAACAAAATCAATTTCATGCTCGTGTAGAACGATCAAAAATTGGTGATAAAGTGATTGGAAAAAGTAAAAACGGTGGCAGATGGAAACGGAGAAAACAATGCAAAACGGGGCGACAGAGCAACGACTCTTTCGTTTGAAAGAGAAAGAAACGTAATCGAATAACATGCTGAAAAAGGACGAATGAATCTCTTGTTAGATGAAGTGAGATAGACTGGGTACAAGAGTGGTAGTGGGGAGGAAGTGAGAGTGGAAGGGAGAGAGTGCCACGCGACGCGCCAGGCAGCGTAAGAGAGAGAGGTGGTTGGCGCGAAAGTAGTGGGGGTTGTAAATCGAGTGGCTTGGTGAGCGGCGGATGGTATCCTGCGAAAAGGGGGCGGTCGGCGAGGGGGACGAGGACAAATGACGAGGCGCGCGAGCCATCAGGGCCGTATGCTAGAGCGCACGCGACACGCGTTCCGGGAGCCATGGCTCGCGCGCGACCTTAACCCTTAAATAGTGTAGTTAATAAAACTCAAGAATCAAGTGAAAAAGCGTCATGTTTAATTTTGAACATAGTTAACGATATTTATTAAGTAAATAAAAAAGTAGCATATGTTCTTATTGTAATGATATTTGTAAAATTCGAGTAAATTTATTAGAGCTTTCACGGAATTTATTCGTGACAGACAATTTATGTGAAATAATTATAACATTAGACAAACTGTACATTGTAACCTTGCTGAAATTGCTTTTATACTTTGTCGCGACAAGATTGCATAAAACGGTTCACTAGGCACTCATGATGAGATTTCATACCGCCTACTTGATTCATAAGTTTTCATAGGTGAAAAGGCAACTTGCGTTGCCGCAGTGCATTATAACTCAGTCGAAATATGTTTATCAAAGATATTGCTGTGTCCGTCTTCCTTTACAGGTGTACTAGTAACCAAACTTTCGATTTAGAATTTTTGAAAGATCGAATACGTTTCTTCGAACTTTAATTATCAAATTTTCTGTTATAAATTTTAGAAAATACTCGTTTCAAAAACCTGAATATTTTATGTCGTATTCACAATACCAATAGCAGACAAAATTGCCCGCATTTGTCTCGTTTCTCAGGAACTACG